CGGTGACGTGTCCGCCGGTGCCGGCGGCGGGGCCGCCAGCGGCGATGCGCGGGCGGGCGGCGGCGGGCGCACATGGCCAGGTGAGGGGGGCTGGGCCACGCCGCGCCGGAGGGCCGGTGCCGGCGCGGTCCCGGTGCTGAGGTGTGGCCTCTGCCCTGCAGGATCGGTGTTTCCTGCCTGTCCTGGCGCTCGGTGGGACCGTGCCCGGGGCCGCGGCAGCGCCCGGTGGCGTTGGGGTTCGCCCTGCTCCTGGGGCTGCTGCTGTTGCTGGCGGGCGCCGTTCCCCGCCGCTGGGCCGCGCCGCCCCGCGGCGCCCGGCGGGACGAGAGGTGAGCGGGTCCGGGGTGCCGGGGGAGCGGGGCCGCCGGTGCTGAGCCGCCGGTGCTGAGCGGCCCCGCCGCCCTGCCCCAGGTACCTGGCGCGGGCGGAGGAGCTGACGGCCACCGACACCGAGGACTCAGCCCTTAACTACGGCGTGGTGGTGGACTGCGGGAGCAGCGGATCCCGCGTCTTCGTCTACTTCTGGCCCCCGCACAACGGGAACCCGCACGACCTGCTGGACATCAAGCAGATGAGGGACAGGAGCAGCCGCCCCGTCGTCAAGAAGATTAAACCGGGTGGGTGCCGCCGCTGTCCGTCCCCAGCCCGAGCCCCCTGCGCACCGACGGGGCGGGTTTCTCACAGCTCCTTCCCCGGACAGGCATCTCCGTGACCGCGGCGGCCCCCGAGCGGGCCACCCCCTACCTGCGCCCGCTCCTCCGGTTCGCGGCCGCCCACGTCCCGGCCCAGAAGCACAAGGAAACGCCGCTGTACATCCTGTGCACGGCGGGCATGCGGCTGCTGCCCGAGCGGTGAGTCTGTGGCCCGTGTCAGGCGAGCCAGGGATACCCTGGAATCTCTCACCCCCAATAGCTGTCTCTTCGGGAAAACTGGGAATTCTGGGGGGAATTGAGAAAGGAAAGGGCAAGTTGCTGGGGCAAGCAGTGAGGGATGCAGAAGGAGGATTTGAGCATGCTGGGAGGGAGTTGAGAGAAGAGGCTTTTTACTGAGGGTCTCAAACAGATAGATGTATTTCTTGTCACCAGAGCATGCTGGGTGCAGCAGCACGGCTTGTGGGGCTGAACAGGGGGTTCAGTGCTGGGTGATCCCTGCTGTCTGTTCACCAGCCTTACTGGTGAAGGTCCCCTAGCATCTGTTTCTTTCCCATGCCCTTGCAGGCAGCAAGCTGCAATCCTGGAGGACTTGGTGCGAAACGTACCCCTGGAGTTTGATTTCCTCTTCTCCAAATCACATGCAGAAGTAATCTCAGGGAAACAGGAAGGTAGGAGCTACCACAGAGCACTGCTTGGTGTTCTTTAGTATATTGTCATAATTACATTTTCTATCTTGTGCAGGTGTCTATGCTTGGATTGGCATCAACTTTGTCCTGGGACGGTTTGATCACGAGGATGGTGAGTCTGGCTGCTTCTAGAACAGCTGGGAGGGTCTAAACAGAGCCCTGTTGGACCTTGCCCCAGTGCTGGAGCTAATAGCAACCTCTGGAGTAGGCAGCAATGCCTGACCCCAGTCGTATGTGTGAAATGGATCTGGGACTTGGAGGAGCCTTGCCCTGGTCACAAGTTACTGTGTGAGGGGGCCATCTGCAGCATTTTGGGAGAAGAACCAGGGAGAGAGAGTTTGTGATAGTGTTTCTGTAGTGGCTTCCACCTGTGGATGCCTTGGGGGAATCTTCAAAGCCAGGGTGTGGCCAGTCCTGAGTGCCAGGACCCATCAGCTGTGGGCAGTAATGGTGGAAGGGAGGAGAGACTGCCCCAGGCCCTGCCTCTCTCTGACATGCTGCTGTGGGTTGCAGAGGAGGATGCAATGGTCACCGTGGCGCTGGGGGACCAGGGGAAGTCCCTGGTTCGGAAACGAACAGTTGGGATCCTGGACATGGGAGGTGCCTCCCTGCAGATCGCTTACGAAGTGCCCGACTCTGGAGCTGTCTCCTCCCCTCAGCAGGTGCGTGTGTGCCTGGTTGGCCCCAAGAGCAGCCCCTGCCTTCCTTGGGTTGCGCTGATCAAGGACCTCTCTGCGTCCCTAGGAGGAAGCTGCTAAGAGCTTGCTGGCAGAATTCAACCTGGGCTGTGATGTGCAGCACACTGGCCACGTGTACCGTGTCTACGTCAACACCTTCCTGGGCTTTGGGGGCAATTTTGCCCGGCAGCGCTATGAGGAGCTGGTGCTGAACCAAACCTATGTGCACAACCGGTATTGCTGCCTCACCTAGCGGTGCCCCTGCTGGGGCACTGTGAAATGAGGTGCTGGTTCCTTCATGCTGCCCTCTCCCCCTTGGGTGTGTCTCAAAAGCTGCCTGTGGCAATAACAGCTCCCACAGCCACGTTGGCAGCAGCTCTGCGGCAGCAGCAGGTGCCTGGGCTGGCACAGCGTGCATGGGTGCTGCCCTTTTCCAAGTCTGGCAGGCATTAGCAGTGCCACAGCTCCCTGCCTTCCTCCTTCTCTCCTCGTAACAGGCTACAGGGGGGCTCCTTTAGTGGCTTTTGGCTTTTCCTGCTCTGACTTTCCCTCCTTCTCCAGCACCGATTCACTCAGCACATCTTTCCTTTGCGTCCCCATCTCGAGCTCTCTGTCTCCTGTCTCTCCTTTCCTTCCAAGAGCACTACGTGAAGCTGTTGCCAGAGGTGGAGAGGCTTGGTGCCCAGGTACTCCGGTGCCGGGAGCAAACCCTGCCTCCAGATCCCCAGGGGCTATGCAGGGGCACAGATCCCTGTGAGCTGGGTGGGATGGGCTGTGCCTTGTTGCACCCTACAGGTGCTTGAAGCATGTAGCTGCAGGTCAGCATGACAGGTCTGGCGAGTTCAGCTCAGCAAGAGGTGGCAGGGCAGGCACCAGCACTGCGGCGTACAAGGGGACACAGCCTGGTCTGGTGTAAGGGGTATCTGGATGTGGGACAGTGCTAGACTAGGCTTTCAGGAGGTAGTATAGAAGCCCCTGGGCAACTGCTGTTCCTTTCTGGACTGTTTTCCAGCCTGCACAGCCAGCAGACAGGGCTGAGCCCCAAGATGCCCTTCCTGGACCCCTGCCTGCCTGTGGGGCTGGAGGACACGGTGACAAGGGGCGGCCAAACCCTGTACGTGCGGGGACGAGGGGACTGGCAGACCTGTGCAAAGCTGCTGCAGCCCCTCCTGGCAGGGTCCAACAGCAGCCAAGACTCCCTGCTGGGGGCCTACAAAGCACCCATCGACTTCAGCAACAGCGAGTTTTATGGCTTCTCTGAGTTCTTCTACTGCACCGAGGATGTGCTGCGCCTGGGGGGTCAATACAGTGCCCCCACCTTCACCTCCGCTGCCCAGGTGGGTGCTGCCCCAGCCCAGGGGCTGGGAAGCTGCTGTACCTGGGGCTGAGAGTGAGGGCTGTTTCTCTGCCCTGAACCCCACCTTCTCCTTGTGGCAGGAGTACTGCAGCCAGCGGTGGGAGGTGCTGACCCAGCGTTTCCGTGGTGGTCTCTACTCGGCGCATGCTGACCAGCACCGGCTTAAGTAAATGGATTTGTTGGGGGATGCCACAGCTGGACCTCCTGGGAGGCTTTTGCAGTGGTAAGGGACTAGTGCGGGTGGCAATGTCTGGCTGATGCTCCTGTGTGATGTGCCTTCCAGGTATCAGTGCTTCAAATCAGCCTGGATGTACCAAGTCCTTCACGAGGGCTTCCAGTTCCCACTGGACTACCCAAGCCTGCGCACGGCCCAGCTGGTGTACGACCGGGAGGTGCAGTGGACACTGGGAGCCATCCTCTACAAGACAAGATTTCTGCCACTCAGGTACTGTCGGCTCACTGATGACATCATGCAGGGAAGGGTGGTTGGGGAGGAGTAGGTGTAACTGCACTAGGTGAGGGCTTTGCCATCCCCAGAAGGGGAGTGGCAGCACAGACCATAGCAGGACCCTGGCTAGTCCTGATGTTTCTCTCCACAGGGATCTCCGTCAGGAGAGCATCCGGCAAGCACATGCCTCCTGGCTGCGCCTCTCTTTTGTCTACAACCACTATCTTTTCTTTGCCTGCATCCTGGTGGTAGCACTGGCCATCGTCCTCTACCTCCTGCGGCTGCGCCGCATCCACCGCCGGCAGCTGCGCATGGCCCAGCACACCCTGCTCTGGCTGGACAAGGTGGTGGTGCCTCTGGGACAGGGAAATGTGCCATGACACCGGTGGTACCCACCATCCAGTTGCACCAGCAGAACCAGGACTGGCTGACAACCTGGGCTCCGAGGGCTTGGACTCTTTCTTGAAGACCATCTCAACTCTGCACTCCATCATCTCCACATCAGAACCAGAGCCTGTGGGCTGAGGCACCAATGGATGCTGGAGTTTTCCTCTCCACCTTGCCCCAGTCCTAATCTTTGTATTCCTTGCCCTCTGGCCTGTGTCTCACTATATGGTGTGGAGCAAAGTCCTCTGCTGCCAGCGGGCTCAAGGCTGCAGCCCTGGCAGGTCCCTCAGATAACAGGACACTGTCACTGAGGCAGCCAACCTCGGGCTGTGGCCCGAAGCGCTGGGCCACCCCATGACTCAGCCA